TGGCGAGATGCCCAAGGCTAAGTACGTAAACCCTAAACCGACGTATCATTTTGGCAGTCAGCCGGCTTACCAGGACTCCCATCGCCTGAAGGCTTGAGGATGCACGCTGCCTGGGGCAGATCCAGCACGACCTGTTCTTGGAGTTACTTGTGATTCCAAAATTGAGCGCTTCACATGGTGTTGAGTTGGGTTTTGTAGAGGTTGCGGGATCAGTGGAGTAGAATGCATCCAATATATACCCCATTCGAAGACTGATACTGCAAACAACAACTGTACTAGTACTGTATTTGAATGCCTTTGTGAGCTCGTGGAAGACCCGTTCTTGAAATCAGTCTCCCACTTCTCGCCAACGAGGCGCGAGACGTCGCAGGGTAATGTCACAGCTTCCCCTCCACCATGCAATCGACACAATAGTACGACCACCCACATATATGTTTTTGGTCCTGCTAAGATATTCTGTCACTGTTAGGCGAAATTGAAAACCACTTCGCTTATAAAGTGCTTTAAAGCAGTGCTGTAGCATCTGACCTGCGGCTGCTCGCCAGCAGTCGGCGGGGGTGGGCGCGCAGCAGCGGGAGAGGCCCACCTTCAGGGCTGTAGACTCGTGTCGGCACATGGGCAGTAGCGGAAAGCACTAGCAGTACCACAGCGCATGTGAAGCCTTCCATTGCGCGCCGTCCCCATGCCGATGAACTCGAAAGTTTCTCAACGCTGCATTTTAATACTTAACACAATCCGGCCGTGGACAGGGGTCGATGCCAACATGGGATTGCACACGCGCACTCTCGTCACACAAAGCATTCTCTGCTTCGTGTGTCTTAAGTGAAAATGTAGCTGCAACACATAGGATGGCAATGGATCGCGCACTGACGCGTCGGAGAAATTTTGGCTCCCAACATTTTCCAAACTGGTGGAAACCCAACGGCGCCGACGTGTCCCAGTCATTCCCAGTCGCCACCTCGCTGCTCGGATAGCGAGGCTGCGCAGCCAGCGCTTTGCCACCAGGGAGAACGCAGCACTGGGCAGGATGACGATGCTGCGGGCTTTCGGAGGCTACGAGCGTTAGCAGAACTATGACATACCCATCTTCAGTTCAAGCACCCGCACATTCTGCAGCTTCTGGAGAGAGGCAGTGCTAGCAGTGATTGAGCACAAATCTTCGAGACTTGAGTAGCAGATCCCTGCCTCAAAAATCCGGCAGCCGCAGAAGCGCTAACAATGCCCAGGACATCCTGCTTGCACCGTCTTGCAGCCTAGCTCTAGCAAAGGACCAAGAAATGCAGAACAAGTGAGTAATGTCCATGTTCGGCTTCCACTCTTTGTGATCAGGATTGAACATGACCCGCGCGCATGCTTTGCGCACAGTGGCTCTCGGATGCCAGCTGGTGAGCTTCATCGTGAAAGAGCTTTCCATCCCTACTGGGGTTTCGGGTGGCCAAGTTAAGCAGCCACCCCAACCGTCGGACCTCGGCAAAGGAGTCGCCTTGCTCCGGGCCACTGGATCCTGATGGAAATGTCCTAGATTTTAGATTCTAGAAGCAAGGGGCGGAGTCATCTGGAAAGACCTTCGGCCTACGATGGGAAGGTTGCATGCAAATTAGGCAGCATCCTCACATCCACCTGCAGGCCCGTTCAAAACCACATGTTTGTGGGTTTATGAACTTCTTGCCCCAAAGACGTGTAGCTGAAGCAAAACGACCGAGTCCTCAACCTTACCGCCGCTCACATTGTCCCAAGGTTGACCTAAGGACACCTAGAACAAGCCAAGACTCTCTCTAGCCTGTGTGCCATCTCCCCTTGAAGCTGCTCCTCAGACATCGCATGACACGACGGGGGAAAAAAGGAAGTCTCAGCACACACCTGCTGATCACGCTCGCCCCGCAAGCAACGCCTGATGTCAACGTGCTGGTACGTTAACACAGTCATCCTCCAATTGGTGTACCCCAATCACCTAGCCTGCATCTAATTAGCACCCTTCGCTTTTGCCGCGAACCGGGTCCAAGCAACGAATATGTGTGCTGCAGGTGGCGCGCCTGAGATGCATCTCCACTGCAGCAGCCCGCAGCATCCGATGTACTCCAACTAATTCTACTTTCACACTGCATGCTTTCATCGAGATGCTGGGCAATGTGACGCATCCCTACTCGTAGGACTCCCTACCGCTCCATATCTGGGCCAGGTTGCCCCAAGCTGCAAGAAGGAGGTCGTCGGAGGATACTGCGGCGCGATGCCGCAACAGCTGGCCGTGCAATGAATGGTTGCAGGGCTGGGCCCGGCTCGGAAAGGCTCTGAGGCGTTGAACTCCATTAACTGACTCTTTAGCTGCTACAAGCGTCTCGGCTATCAGTTTTCCGGATTATGGCTGCGCAAATCACTTCAACATCCTCCGTCAGTCGCAACCCGGCACCTCCTCAGCTACGCATAATTGGAACCGATCGTTCGTTGCACCAAGCCTGGGCTGCAGGGGCAGACTACATGCTAAATTCGAGGCGGTTGTTTGTGTTGACTTGATATTGAAGTAATGTAAAGTCGATTGCTACTCACTTCTGTTTCGAACTGCTGTCTAGCGAAAGACTCCGTCAGTGTGTCAGCCGGAACTCGCCGACAGAATGGATGCCAGCTCAGATTACCCCCTGAATGCCGTGATAGGCTTGGGCCTCGGTGTGCAAACGAGCCGTGGAGGATGCTGTTGTATTGACGGTCTATTCCTGGCACATGCAACCCCAACAACGTACTATCCAGAGAGCCCAACACCTCTCAGATCAAACAATCCGCGCAAATTGCCGAACAGGTGCATTGTGCAGGACCAAAGAAGCAATGGCAAGCCATCCACGGCATTCCTCCGTAACGGAACCGACGTGGCGGCTTACTAGCAATTACAGCTTGTCGCTAGTCAGTTGGTTTTTCAATGATCTTCTCTCTCTCTCTCTCTCTC